GTGTTATGAGAAAGAAATACATTTTCAACAAAAATGTATGGAAAAACAAGCAAAACATTAATCCTTTATCAGTTAATGCTGAAGATGCCAAATATAGTAGCAATTACCAACGCAAATGTTATGTTGATAAAGTCTGGAAACATATTTCTGCTAATTTTCTTTATTTGTAATGTGCAATAGGAAATTACCCAATGTTCTTCATCCTGCTCCTCCATCCCGCAGTAAAAGCAAAGCCTGCTTAGATCATCTGTTGAGACAAAACGTAATCAATATCTTCAGATAAACCACATTGCAGATTTGGGGTCAAGGTGACCCATTCCAATTTTTGACTAAAAGGTCAATTATATAAGGACACATTTGTTGTGGTCTTTTATTATTTTGTGTGAAGAAAAGGCAAAACACACACAAACACATAGATTTTCTAAATGATTAAATCTGAGCACAGAGGAGCCATCTGCTCCTTCTTTCACTCTCTCCTTACCCTCTTTAGAATGGGAACCTGCACAATGTCATTACAAAACATCCAAAAACTTCTTTCGCACTGTACGCATCAATTTAAGTTTGGTTCTCATGGTTATTTTGTTGTTCATCACATGTATTAGCTTTACAGCTTTGATTATAATAAGTTCAAGGTAAAAATTAACTGAGGATATCAGTTAAAAGTAATACACACCAATGAGCACATTGAAAGGAGGAAGATGGGGAAATCTCACATCTTAAATAAACCGCAGAATTGAAAGGGTGTGTTAGAGTGTGATGTGTGTAGCCTATATGAAATTGCAGTTGAAGATGCCTGCCTGCGATGCTTCATATGTTATCTGTTTGGAGTTGAGATACACAATATACTGTATGTAGTGACTATTTACCCTAATCTATACTTAAGCCACTGTGTTGCTTTTAAAACCCTGATAATGTCCCTGGTCAAGATTAACCCAACAGTACCAATGGTCCAAGCAGTGATACAATACAACAATTTGCATGGCACATTATTAATATACTAGGTTATTGATGCATACTTATGAGATACAATTAATAAAAGTAACTACATGAAGTCATTGACAATGTTGAGAAAAGGTAACAAACCAGATTCTCTGAGGAGAGAAGTAGCAATGTCCAACCTCAGCTCGTGCACTGCCTTCTGTGAGGTTTCAAACTCAATTGCCTCCCCCAGTAAAATGTTCTCTGCAAACTGAAGAGAACCTTGATTAGTATATGGACTGCATGGTGTATGATTTTACCCTCAAATGGAATACAGACAAATGACCCAACAGATTTAAAGAATGACATGTTGTATATGTGTAGTTTGACACAATTCAATACATCTTTGATCAAGATCTATAAAAGCAAGTCAAGATATTCAGTCTAATTGCTACTGAATTTGAGTTTGAGAGTAATGTTTGGCTAAATGCATTTCACACTCACTTTTAAGGCCAGGACACCACAGGATGTGCTGTCTTGTTGGCGATTATGGGGGAGGGTGCTGCATGTCCACCCTGACACCTTGCAGCCTTTCATCCACATAAAGGCTCTACAGTATGTAGATAGTACATGTGTCAAGATGCAGCACATCATTGTCAAAATACTCATAAAACACCGGAACTAGTACACTGTATCAAATGTACCTTGTAGACTGCAGGCACACCTTCGTTTTGCCTTTCCCTTCTCCAAGTGGATCCAAAAAGAGGGTTTTCTTCTCATGGGGGCACATTACCTTTTATTATTCACATGGAAACACAACATGCATTAGGCAGGAACCATACATTACGCAGGTACGATGTAGGGTATTGTTTAGATTTGATCAATAATAAGTGACAGCATGTATGTGTGGCCCGGTTATCTTGCAAATCACTAATTATATATGGTGTATACAGCACTATAGATACAGATTGGAGCTTAAAATACGCTCCTATTCTCACCACCAACATCCAGTGATGGTTCTCGTTCACAATTCCCACGATGACTGTGTGTGCCATTGGATCAACCTGAGAGTAGTTGCAAAAGTATTACATTCCTGTTGAAAAATGCACATTTGCAACATTTACAAAAGCAAAGTCATTCCAATCATGTACATACCCGGATTCTTCCAAATTTGTGTTTCCAGATGGCGGTCATAGCGTAGCTGTCAATAACAGCTGCTTGACCGTCATTGCGCTGGTTGATTTTTCTGGGTATGGTTCTAGGACTGGTACCAATAAATGGAGCAAGTTTCATGAATGTCACACTTTTATTTTGTAAGATAGCAAGGGGGGGCATATTGTGCCCAACTTTTGACGCCTCTGCAGAAGCGTCAGCCAATCGAATCATATGCCAGTACAAGCTCTAGCCAATCAAACCGCTGCTTGTGTGTCAGGGGCGGGAGATTCATGTGATTGGTTGTTGGTCGAGTGTCAGACACGCCCATCGGCAAGCGTCAACGCACGCCGCTGTGTGGAGGGGCCGTCAAGGCTGCGGGCGTCTTTGTCCCGCGAGATTTCAACGTCTCATGTGGGCGAGCCTCCAGAGCAAGTCGGACAAAATGACTAACCATGATGCAACGCACTAGCAAGACGTTGATCGCAACTGCGCAGGTCTGCGCAGGTCTCGCTTGTCTCAAACAAGCCTATTTACTGACACAAACATTTGTATCATCTGTTGTAGACCCAAATAAATAAAAATCAAATAAGAACTCATTCTCAAAAAAGATAAACGCCATTCTTAAAATGTATAAACGAATATTAGTTGGATTAATATTGATTAGAGTGCACAATAGAAATACAATAATTGAGAGAAGAAAAAGAGATATGTTATCCATCAAAACCCAGTTAGATTAACATTCATTGGATTGCACACTTTGTTTGTTTGGATATGTAGCAAATTAACATTTTAATAGCACTTAATGACTGACTGAATGGAAATCACAATAAATGAAAATGTAAAACGAATAAAGCGATCATGAAAATGTTTCCAAAAAATGAATAAAATGATTTTTGACCACTTTGTTGTTCAGATATATCACATATTTATAACTAAATGAAACATTAATTGAAACAAAACACGGTATAAACTGAGGAGTGACTCCCGTGAGGTTCATGTATTTTCTTCACTCCGCTGGGAAACTGCTCTCATGTCAAGAAGCATCAGATCAGTGCATGCACTGCCTCGTCCAATCAGTGAGCGATACACAGTAAGGGGGCGGGGCGAGTGTCTGAGGATTTCATCGAAGGATGGTCTGGTGGTTCCTCGATTATAGCTCCTCCATTATCGCTCCTCCATTATCGCTCCTCGCTCCTCTGGCAAAAATAAGGCCATTGGGACGCTACTCAAGATGGCGCAGGCAAATCAACTTCCGGTGAGACCGAGACCGAGGAGCGAGGAAATGAAAAATAAGAGAAGTGAAATGCAGCCACAGTCTCTTCTCCTAAATCCTTTTGAATTCTCCTATCCACTATTCCTTAACCCCGGGACGTTTCACTCAGAGGTCAAGGAATAGACGATAGGGTTAGACGTTAGGAGCTGATTTTTGGATTATCCGACCGCAACCAGGGAGAACAGAATCCATAACAAGACATACAAAACTAAAAACGTGACAAAACATCAAGATTGTGACAAGTACGACCTTGGCAGGAAGCTACCGTGGGATACAACAGGTTGAGGGATACAAACAGTTTTCCTCAGTATAATATCATCATTTGGTTTTACCATATAAAGTAATATAAGAAATTGCCACTACAAGCGCTACCTGTACCACGATGCAGATCAAAAATAAAAAGTGCAAATAAAACGTGCAAATGAAGAAACACATTCATGTAAGTGTTTTGGGCCGTTGAAGCGTGTTTGCACGGGTCAGCCACTTTACATAGCACTGTCAAACATATCAAAAGTGTGTGTGTGTGTGTGTGTGTGTGTGTGTGTGTGGTGTGTGTGTGTGTGTGTGTGTGTGTGTGTGTGTGTGTGTGTGTGTGTGTGTGTGTGTGTGTGTGTGTGTGTGTGTGTGTGTGTGTGTGTGTGTGTGTGTGTGTGTGTGTGTGTGTGTGTTCCTTACTTATGACCCAACAGTGAGACAATGACCCTATTTCAAATGAAACAGGAACATGAAACAAATGCTTGGAACTCAGTCGGGGTGTTAAGTGCCACTTCTGCTGTGATGGTTTGAAAATATATGTGTGAGGAGTGTGCTATTTGTGTGCCTTTTTTTAGGAAGTGCACTGTATTCTGTATTTTTTTCATATGTTATACTGACTAACACTTTTAAAGTTGTTATTGTAACTTCCTGATAGTGGCATTTTCCCTGGTCATAATTTATCAATTCAAAGTGAAGGGTGTACATTACATACAGACCATGTTCAAACACACACAGTCCTATACACATAACTGTGACTGAATCTGGTGTGTTGTATGAATGCGTGTTCATGCAGGAAATGAAGTCAGCATGTGCTGAATTATAACAAAGATTTGATGGGAGTGTAATCTGGATTCTGTAGAAAACAAAACTTAAACCAAATGTCAGTAGTGGCTTCAATAATCCTTACACTCCTAGAGACAAAAACATGGCGCACAATGAAGCCTTCTGCTTGTTCTGGTATTCATCAAAAGGTCTTATAACCTGGAAATGGTGAATGTGTTTAGAAATGTATATTGAGTAATGTGTGTGTATTTTTTATTACATTACTTTTATTTATGTCATTATTACAAACTCTATTATATTTATTATCACCTGTGAAGAGGATGTAAGTTCACAGGTTCAGCAAGAATAAAATACATTACAAAGAAGTACAGAGAACAGCAGCAAGCTACAACTACTCTGTACACTAATTAGAGTTTGAGTGGATCCTAGATATTTGTATTATTCATGACCCATTACTATATAACCTACTATGTATGTAAGACTTAAATAGTTACTAGGGTTGCCATTTAACTTTGTCACCTGAGCCAAAGCTGCTCCTGCCAAGATGAGTAACCAGGCAACACCAAACAAACACACAGCTTGGTCTGCCTAAGGACTTGAGTGGGGACACATAACTGATACTGCTTTTATAATAACATCGGCTTAATTCACCTGATCTGTTCACGTATTTTTTGTAGGCCTAACTGTAATTTAATTGGCAAAGAATGAGCTCCGAGGTCTTTGTGTCAAGGCCCCACTATGACAGCAGAGCTGTGGCCCAGGGGGTCCAGGAGAGAGACCTCTCTGTAAAGCCGGATGTCCCGCAGCCGTCCTCGGGCTCAGCCACAGCCGGTTACCGCTCCGCTAAATACGGCCCTGCTGAATGGTTCTCCAACTACCACAGCATCCTCCAGCAGGCCGGCACCGAGAGCCACGCAGCCCGGAGCCTCCAAAGAGAGTCCAAAGCTCTGCACCAGGACACCGAGGCAGGCACTTTCAAGACCCAGGGTGAGGGGACGCGTCTCCTGGGGGAGAGACTGCATGAGATCCACAGCTGGAAGTCTGAGCTGCAGCGGCACATCGAGCAGCTGCAGGCCGACACAGAGTCACTGCTGGCGCTGAAGACGAGGCTGGAGAATGCGCTGGACGCCTCCGAGACTCCGTATGCCATCTCCACCGATAATCTGAGCTGCAGGGCCCGGAGACTGGGACCAGACCTGGTGCGAGACTCCGTGGAAGAGGAGCTGGTGAAGGTGATCATTGGCTTTACGTTGATGTACTGCTGTATAAACTGTATAACACTGACACAGGACCAACCCGGTATCACGGCAAGACGTGAACATGTGACGATTTACCATGCTGGGAGACGTGAACATGTCACGGTTTCGTCCCCTTCAAACGTGACAGCTACACGGTATTGTTAACCCATGTTAACCAGTGGAGAAATAACCGGAAATACCAAGCAAATGCTACCCCGACGTAATGATTTATTTTTTAATAATCACACTCGATTACAGCGATTTTCTTGTTGCCCCAGCTGGTCGACACCCCTTTTAGTATAAACAAAGGCTACATTAATGTATTAAATCGATGTTAATCCATGCGTGTGGATGTGGAATTAACGGACGTGACGTTGTGCGATTGAGTTGCCAAGCAACAGCTTCGGTTCATGTTAATTTACAAACTATTCAACTACAACCGTAGTTATATTTAAAAACATGTTAGAAGGCCTCACGAAATACTAATGCACATTAAAATGTAAATGTGAAGGAATGTGTGTATAACAAAATACATCGGTCATTAAACGAAACCGGAAACAGACGTAGGCAAGATCCTCAGCTCGATGATTGGATGGTTATCCGCAATGCATGCTGGGATTTGGTGTTTATGTGATGTGAAATCTGAAAACGTTTTTTAAAAATACAATAATACTTTATTCCGAGTGTGCTTGCTTTTCTCTTTGAAAGTCATCACATAACGGCATTGTAATACACGGTTCGGCTGCATTAAATATTACATATCTGCCGTAATTCTCTATTTATAGAGCCCTGTTGAGAAGACTTCTAGACAAACAGGAGAACTGCCGCCAAAACTGAACGTGACGTGGATCATAAATATATCAGTAATTAAACAACATCTTACATTTATTTTTCACACAATACGTCTCCTTGCAGTATCAACACTAATTCGGCTGACTTTTATATTTGATCCAATTGGTAGATAGGCTGTATTTACACCATAACCGTGCAGAGCTGATAGAAAGGGACACCTGGTGGTCAAAGCACGTTATTGAATTGTATTATTTTATTATTAGATATTAAAAGGAGGATGTGCAAAACAGACAAACTAATAAGGCTTAATTTAAACATTAAAGAGTACTTTAGGTTAAGGTCTTATTTTGAATAAGAAAAAAGCTTTAAGAAGAATATGGAGGGATGAAACCCTCTTGAAACCGCAGGTCCTTCCTTCCTGCAGCGGTCAGACTTTACAACCAGCACTGCCCCTTGTAGACCCTCCTACACACACCACAACACAGACTATAACACCCCTTGCTGCTAAATACAAACCAACTTTGTGCTATATATGCAATATATATATGCCATTAATAACTGTGTAATTTATACCTGGCCACTAAATCAATATATATGCCGTTTTGTTTTTGATCTGTATTTTTGAAAATTATGTAACTTTTTATCTTTTTTTTAGCATAGGCTATTGTTTATTATATTATAACTTAGTACTTTTTTAGCATATTGTTTATTTTAGTCTAACTTAGTACTTTTTTAACGCATGTAAGATATGCAACACTAAGCTGTCTGTGGCTCTTTCCTGCTGTAACGCTGCACATTTCCCCTCTGTGGAACTAATAAGGGTATTCTGATTCTTTAATGGTCACACATGCAGAGCACACAGCACACACAGTGACATTTGTATCTACAGATAAATATTAAGCCTGACAAAGTACTTAACGTCTAATATATTGCTTTCCTGCAATGTTAACTATATTTAAGCACTTATTTGTTTATTATTTGTTTATTATTAAACTGATATTATACATATGTATTATACTCTTATAAGATGTATGTAGATAGTATAAGAAATGTGCAGAATGACAGTTTAATGGTGGAGTATACACACATATTGATAGATGTCTTGTAATGCACTGTTGAGGAACCTGCGACCCAAGTTTTTCATTCATTGCATAACTACACAGTAGTTGTGTATAATATGATATGTCAATAAACCCTTAGCTTATAAAAATCTTGAAAGGGATGTTCAAACTAGTCATTATATACAGTCTTTAATGAACTATTAGTAGAGAATAACGAGTAATGAATATACTTTATAGGGATCCTATTAATATCTAATAATACAATTCAATAACGTGCTTTGACCACCAGGTGTCCCTTTCTATCAGCTCTGCACGGTTATGGTTTAAATACAGCCTATCTACCAATTGGATCAAATATAAAAGTCAGCCGAATTAGTGTTGATACTGCAAGGAGACGCATTGTGTGAAAAGAAATGTAAGATGTTGTATAATTGCTTATATATTTATGATCCACGTCACATCTTCAGTTTTGGCGGCAGTTCTCCTGTTTGTCCAGAAGTCTTCTCAGCAGGGCTCAATAAATAGAGAACTACGGCAGATATGTCATATTTAATGCAGCCGAACCGTGTATTACAATGCCGTTATGTGATGACTTTCAAAGAGTAAAGCAAGTACACTCGGAATAAAGTATTATTGTATTTTTAAAAAACGTTTTCAGATTTCACATCACATAAACACCAAATCCCAGCATGCATTGCGGATAACCATCCAATCATCGAGCTGAGGATCTTGCCTACGTCTGTTTCCGGTTTCGTTTAATGACCGATGTATTTTGTTATACACACATTCCTTCACATTTACATTTTAATGTGCATTAAAGTATTTCGTGAGGCCTTCTAACATGTTTTTAAATATAACTACGGTTGTAGTTGAATAGTTTGTAAATTAACATGAACCAAAGCTGTTGCTTGGCAACTCAATCGCACAACGTCACGTCCGTTAATTCCACATCCACACGCATGGATTAACATCGATTTAATACATTAATGTAGCCCTTGTTTATGCTAAAAGAGGTGTCGACCAGCTGGGGCAACAAGAAAATCGCTGTAATCGAGTGTGACTATTAAAAAATAAATCATTACGTCGGGGTAGCATTTGCTTGGTATTTCCGGTTATTTCTCCACTGGTTAACATGGGTTAACAATACCGTGTAGCTGTCACGTTTGAAGGGGACGAAACCGTGACATGTTCACATCTCCCAGCATGGTAAATCGTCACATGTTCACGTCTTGCCGTGATACCGGGTTGCACAGGACATAAGGGTCATTGTCTTTGCATTTAAAAAATATCTCAATATGAATTTGAAATTCAAGCAATAGGCATACTAAGAATAAAATAATATTTGGATAAATTCATAATTAACAGGAGAAATATACCACTGTGAAGTTAGTCTTAGGTTGGATATTTGAATTTCTTTAAAAGGTCCCATGTCATGGCCATTTCTACTGATCATAATTCCATTGTTGAGGTATACTAAAATAGATTTATATTGTGCAATTTTCCAAAATCACATTGGTTTCTCATACAGCATTTCTGTATAGTATGTGCATTCAACGGCTTGTTGGAGTTCCTGCAGTCGTAAATGTCCCCTCTGTGGGACGAATAAAGGTATTCTGATATTCTGAGACATCCTGTAATAATATGTACCGGTTTGCACCGTCTGAAGTCCACCACCAGCTCTTTTTTATTCCTTGTCTTAAATTATATTGAATGTATATTTAGCTTCTGAACCATTGGTCAGACATAAGTAGAACATTGAGATTTAGCGTTCTTTTTCAGTTTTTCTATTTTTCTATTGATCAAATAATGTATCCAACAATGAGAAAGTAACCTTCAGAGCACCAATACAATGCTGGCTCAGTTGTGCTCCACAGTAATATTCTCCGGATCAAGTGTCTATTAGTGAGTTTTGTGTCAGAGGAGAACAGCACCAGCAGACGGCTCACTAAACACTAAGTTGTGTGTGACTGTGTGTTTTGCAGGAAGTGGACTTGATCAGAAGTGTCCAGGCTCTTCTGAAGAGAACTACAGCTCAAGTTGTCAGACAGATCAAGTGAGTGTAACATCCCAACATAAAAATACAAATGTAAAAGTCCCTTTTTAGTTTAACGCTCACACTAAATATCCCTGGGTTTGTGTCTCTGTGTGTGTCAGGATGAACCGAGAGGCAAAGCAGACGTTGGAGATGGATTGGTCTGACAAGTACCAGGCATACAACTTTGATGACCACAGTGGAAGACACAGTAACATGAGCACAGACACACGGCACCACCCAAGCTCAGCCACCTTCCAGGACCAGTGAGTCCTTGTTTGCGTATGACTGTGTATCATCATCACATCTTAGAAACAGATCAAATGAGAAACATTGTGAATAACTATCATGCAATGTGTCATTTGTTCTTCTGCAGAGTGTGTAACTGCACATCGTGGACAAAGTTTACACAGGACAACCTGAACAAGGCCCAGCAGGAAGAACAAACCACCCACAGTCTCAGGTTGGGTTGTGTTTCCTTGTGTCAGAAAAACTATTTGTGGACAGTGAAAAAAAACACCTGTTTGTTCTTATCGTTGTAAGAATTCTCTCGAACACTGGTAAACGTTTAACTATTATCTAAGAAAATAGCAACAATAAAAAAAATTTGGTTGATTCCAGAAATCTGAATGATACTTACAAATAGTCATAGATACATGCAAAAATAAGACATTTGTTTGTATAAATTTTCCTCAATAGGCCCATTGTTACACATTAATGAAGATAAATATAGTGATGCTGGTGTGTGTGTGACACAGGCTGCTGGTGGAGCAGGTGCTGCAGGACACCACTGAAGATCTGGAATTCCAGTGCTCCAGTGTGGACCGAGCCTTCAGCCGGCGCGTTCAGGAGCTGATAGAGGCCAAGACCCAGATGGAGACCAAGCTGGCACAGGTAGAGAAACAGACCAACACACAAACTGACAGTGTGACTCATTGTCTAAAGGTCCCCTATTATGCAAAATGCACTTTTTGATGTCTTTTATACATAAATATGTGTCCCCTGTTTGTCAGAAAATAAAACCCTCTCTTTTCCTCCTTACCCACATCTCTAAAAACGGGGGTACAACGGAGCTGATCCAGATTTGCTGCGGTCATGACGTAATATCTGAAATGTGGGCTGGCTTTACGCCTATGGCCCTATCAGAAACGTTGCTGTATCAGAAACAATGCGCGATGTGTTTTGGAACTAATACGGGCTGTGTTTACATTAGCAAGCATTGCTAACGCTGTACTGGAGACTGGAGAGAGTATGTGTAAATAAGCAGGATATAAAAAGGAACTCACCTTGTGGTAAACCCATGAGTGAAAAAGCATTTGAGCTCCATACTGTTTCAGAAATAATCCTTGATGTGGTTGTGAACATGATATGGCATTTAATCAAGGCAGCATTTAGCATCAGCACTTCTCTAACAGGGCTGAAATAGAGGCGTATGAGGCATGGCTAGAATGGGTGATCTGTTTGGTATTTTGAGCAAAACACTTCAGAGACAGGTTTTTTATATATCTGAGACCTATAATATATGCCTACAAATAGTATCATAGGAGACCTTTAATATCTCTTTTGTGATGGTGTGTGTAGGTCCTGGAGCAGATTGGGGCCCAGGAGAGGAACATTGTGTTGCTGCAGCAAGCCATCCACAACAAAGAGGCTCCACTGAGAGTAGCCCAGTCCAGACTTTACCTCCGCTCCCTCAGACCCAACATGGAGCTCTGTAGAGATCAGCCCCAGTTCAGGTAAACTAACAATGCACACTGCAGAGTCTCATTCGATATGTGTCCTCTTCCCCCTCTTAATTTGGTTTGCTCCTGTGTTTGCAGTTTGGAAGGGGAGGTGAGGCAGATTGATGCCACTGTGGCGGCCCTGCAGCAGCAGCTGAGTGAGGCCAGACGCTCCCTGTCCCACCTGGAAGAGTCACGCATCACCCTCGAGAAGGACATTAACTGCAAAACCCACTCACTGTTCATCGAGAGAGACAAGTGCATGATCCACCGAAAACGATACCCCGCGGCCTCCAAACTGTTAGGATACTGAAAGCAATGACTCGGAGTGTTTTTGTGAAATGTAGCAATTTTGTTGTTTTTCAAATGTTACCATCCTGGATTATATTGTCTGTTTTTTTCTGTGTTGTGAGGATCAGTAAAACAAAATTAAAACAAGAAAGCCTGAACATTGATTATTATTAACACATTTAAAAGTATTTAAATTCACAAAATCACTAATACTGACAACTATCAACAATGTGCTGAATTCATTTTTGTGTAATAAGGAAAACCATACTGCAGCGTTGCTTACTGATCTCCATATACACTGTTGTACTGATAAGTTTTACAGCATTTCTTACACAAAAGTATTAACTAAACATAATACAGTCACAATGTAAAGGGAAGAAGGCTTTGAAGTCCTTAAAGTTTAACAGTCAAGTTTAATATACAATATAAACAGGGTACAAGGCAGTTGTGAAAGATGTACTCAGAAACTGTATTTATATTCTTTTAAATGGTTCTCTTGTAGCATTTACTGTATACAAAATATCCACTCCATGAGAGGGAGCTCTTGAGCCTCAATATATTGTCTCATGTCACATTTCATTACAGTGAGCTGCTTGTCTTTAATGTTGCACTCTTCTTTTCCTTATACATGTGATGTTTTGGTGTTGTTTTGTTTCTTTCCGTTAACCGTCAAGTGGGAAATAAGTATTTTTTTTGTGTTTCTCTTAGTATCCTAAGATACTGTTATGTTTGGCTGTGGAAAAAAAAAAAAAAGAATTATTATTATGAAGGGCAGACCATCTATTTGTATTTGTTTTTTTTAGAAAGGGGCAGGTCACATAAGATTTTATTCTTCTCCCTGCTCCTTTTCGCTCAATGGTAGAGTCATGTTTTGTGGCAATTATTGTACATTTGGTTTTGCGTACCATGAGTGGGACAAATAAAAATGAAATGAAATGAAATGAAATGTAGGTATATTTTATAGGTTAAAAAATGTTCATGTTAAAATCTTCAATCACACAGATTAAGATGTAACCAATTGTGTTACGTTAGTAGCACAGTTATTGATATGTGTATGAAATGTGTGTTGTTTTAGACGAGCTACCTGCTATCCATTTTTTTTTCTTCTGCTGAACCGCACTTAAATCCAGTGATGAAGAACGTCAAGATTTCTAAAGTCATCTAACAAAAGAAGAGTTGAAAAGAAGCATCTAAACTTTGTACAATTGACATAAATCACACTTGAATTGTATTTTTTAATGCATATTTAGTTTTAGGGTCTGTTTTTTATCGTCAAAGCATTCTAGTGTCATCTTTAGGAATACGTGCTACGTGTTGTTCCTTTTTTTTTTTATATATGGAGCTCCATCCATCTCTATTCTTAGAGAGCTTCCTCCATGTTAGGAGGTGCCACGACTGAGGATGTTACGAAACTGAACTTTATGCAAAGAGAAAGAAGAGTTCAGACAGGCTCCGTTCTTACTGCGCAGCACATAGTATTTATGTCATGACACCACCAACTGTGGGCATGGGACGGTGCCAGCACTGTGGTGTGTGTGTGTGTGTGTGTGTGTGTGTGTGTGTGTGTGTGTGTGTGTGTGTGTGTGTGTGTGTGTGTGAGCATGTAGCTTTACCATTGTGTGGTATGAAAATGCACGCCCTTTCAGTTTTTCAGACATCAGAAGGGAAAGTGATTTTTTATTTTTTTTAGAGTTTCAATTAGGATTGGGCAAGACTTTGATACACACGGTTCAGGGCACAAACAATAAAACTAATATTCTCTTACCATGCATTTTACAGTATTTAACATGTTTTGTGAGAGAAAATCCTTATAAAATAACACTTTTATAAGTTGAGCACATGTGACCTGTGAGAAAGTGGTTGGCTTAATTAGCAAGAGTTAAGAGTAGCAATATAATGTAAGTGAGTAAAGTAAGTGTTCATACATCTATGTTGGGGTGCATCAATTATTCAGTATGTCTGATTTGACTACAAGTAACCTGAAGTTTATTTATCATGTTCAGATTGTAATTCCTTTGTGTTTTCACTGATGTCCATGGTTAAATGGACGTTAGGTGATGGATAGGACAAACGTGACCTTGTGAAAAAGAGAAAGTTGCATAAATGAAGAAAATGGGAGGGATGGATGAAGTAGCAGATCTGAGGGAGTGACAGAAAAAGAAAGAGGGAGGGAGAAGAGGAGAAAAGAGAGACAGCAGGACCAAGCTCACTGCCTTCCTTTCCTCCAGAGCTCTCTCCCTTCTTTCTCCTCGTGACTCCAGGCTGAGATCAACAGATAGGTGAGTTTGGCTTCAGCTTTTTTCTCTTTACTTCACCTATTGCTAAACTCTACTTAAACTGAATTATAAAATATGTTATCCCTGCACCTGCATGAACTCACCCACGCCTCATCCCTCCTTTAACAACCTTAATTATGCCCTTTCGCTTGCATCAACTTATATTTGCTCAGGCTCGCTGCATTTAGTTTGAATGAAAGCAGAATGTCATTGAGCCCTGGCTGGATGAATTACTATAAGGAGTTTTTCATCTTCAAAATCTATTCTCTTCTTGCTTCTTATTTCACCAGTTTCTTCCCATCTATTATAAATAGGGTTTTATAGGGTTGTTCCAAGGTTAAATGAATCATTGCTCATTAACCAAAATATCTCTCAAAGACCTGCTGCGTTATTTATGTGTGAGAACATTTTTATGACTGTGTTTATTTGCATTTGTGTCTGTTGGCTAAATGCATGCAACTAAGGTTGAGGGTTTGCGGAAAGCCAAAGTTTCCGTTGGCTGGACTGAGAGGCTACTTTTAGCTTTGGTTATTACTCCCTTTGCCCTGACTGGTTCAGACTGAGTGCTAAGCTTCCACTATGTTTCTCAAGTCCCTGACTGTCCTTTAAATGACTGATTATTGAAAAAGATAAAAACATCTATCAATCTTTCATTTTACAGCACAATGTCCCATTAGGGTTAGACGAGAAGTTTTAAATTATATGTTTAGTCAGAGTATGGAATGTGAGTTCCATGGCTTTGTGTGATTTTTGGGATTTTTGTGGTAACGTGTGCATATATATTTAGGAGCTCCTGCTTTACATACATCTACTCTGTTTTCTGTTTTACTTCTCTTTACCTCACATCACACCGCTTCCATTTTCATTCCCATGAGGAGGTCTCATCTCTTCTTCTGTTTCCCCCTGCAGGATGCTGTGCCTCAGCTTACTGTCCACACTCCTCCTATTGCTCTACCCCCCTGCGCTGTCTGGCCAGGAGGTGCTTGTACGTCTGGCAGGCGCAGGTCGGCGCAATACAAACGAGGGGCGAGTGGAGGTGTTCTACAATGGCACATGGGGCACAGTGTGTGATGACGAGGTGGACCTTAACCTGGCCAATGTGGTGTGCCAACAGCTGGGCTACCAACGCGGCCTGACCTGGGCGCACAGTGCCAAGTTCGGCGAGGGACAAGGTATGTCCACCAAATTGTGTTTCGTTTGGAACACCTTACTATTTTAAGGTCTCCTATCATGCAAAATTCACTTTTTGATGTATTTTATACATAAGTATGTGTCCCCGGTGTGTCAGGGAACTCACAAAGTATCAGAAAACAAAACCATATCGTAAATGTGGGCTGGCTTTACACCCACGGCCCTATCAGAAACTCTCTATCAGAAACAATGCGCGACGTGTTTTGGAGGTAACATGGTCTTTGTTGACATTAGCAAGCATCGCTAACACTCAGAGCTAACCTGTACTGGAGAGAGTATGTATAAAACAGCTGGAAATAAAAAGGAACTCACCTTGTGGTAAACCCGCAAGAGAATAAGCATTTGAGCTCCATACTGTTTCAGAAATAATCCTTGATGTGGTTTTGAACTTGATATGGTATTTAATCACGGCAGCATTTAGCTGAGTATCTCGGTAGAATTCTCCTGCATAAGCTCCCCCCCCCCCCCCCCTCTTTTTTTTTTTTTTTTTTAAAGCTACAGACCCCAGAATCAGCACTTTTCTAACAGGGCTGAAATAGAAGGATACGAGGCATGGCTAGAATGGGTGATGTTTGGTATTTTGAGCTAAATACTTCTTAGAATCTTTTTTTATATATTGTTATATATCTGAGGCCTATAATATATGCCTAAAAATAGTATAATAGGAGACCTTTAAGTTTTTATATATTTAAATTCTCAAACTTACCACCCTTTCTTGCTGCTAGGTCTGATCTGGTTGGACAATGTTCGTTGCACGGGCACAGAGCTCTCCATTGCGGACTGTCCTTCCAATGGTTGGGGCATCAATGACTGCACCCACGCTGAGGACCTGGGGGTCATTTGCAGCCCAGACAGGAGACCTGGCTCCCCCGCCGTCACAGTGGAGGAGGCTCCTTCATCCCCTAGGCGGCAGCCAAACCAGCCAAGACAGAGAAACCCACCACCGCAATCGCAACAGTCAAATCCTCCCCCAGCCCTCATCTCCTCGTCCCCTGGAAGGGGTCATGAGATCGCCCTTCATCGTAACCCTACTTCTTCTCATCGAAGCAACCTCACGCCACAGGAAAATGGCCATGAGATCCAGATCCTGAGAAGGAATCGAGGCGATTCCAGAGCAAACCAACAAGCCATGCCACAAGGGCACGAGCTGCCTTCGCGTCTGATAAACGGCCAATCCTACAGGCAGAGACAGGAGACAGAGAGGAACAGTCCCGCAGCCGTGAGAGGAGGAGCAGAGAGCCAGGCTCAGCCCCAGCCGAGGAATGTCAGACAGCAGCAGCTCAGTGGGAACCATGTCGAACCAGAGCCTGTTTATCCTGACGTTGGACTGGAGACTGATGTGCACTACACACAGGTAAAATCACACTGACAAACACACAAAGCCTCAAGTACACGGCAAATAATTAGTCCAATCGAGCTTTTCTTCAGACTCCCATAGATGAATGTCTTTTGTGGAGCCACAGGCCAGAGGATATGTTTAATTAGAGACAAACTTAAAACCAGAACTTTTCCAGATCCAGCTCTTTCGCAGCGTTTAGTTCAGGACTCAACCACCAGAAGCTCAACAGCCCCTCTCTTCAAACATGCAAGAAACTCCGACCAGAGGAAATTGCAAGACATTTATCACTTGTGTTTGGCATTCTTTCCTTTTGAACTTGCAGAGTTGACACTTTCCTGACCATTTTGTAATCATCGTGACACTTTAAGCAAATTCAGTTTTTCTGTTGGTTTCCTTCCTGCTGGCTGTTATGTGGATGATTAGAGACCGTGATGATTAAAGATGTAGCATGTCAACTTATGTTATTCTTTCCTCGATTGCAGATATTTCAAACACATTTTTGTTTGAATAAAGATTACGTCATGTTTGCTAACTGTTATAATTTGTCAGAGAGTTTATCCTGTGGCGGACTTTATTCAGGATTAACAGTGCTATACTCAACTCTTTATCATCATTAAAGAATGATTTCTAATTGCAGGGATCTGAAAGGGTTCACTTAGAGGAGGCCCGTCTTCGGCCTGTGCTGGCCAAAAACCATGGTAATCTGGTGACGGAAGGAGTGTTGGAAGTGAAGCATGCTGGGAGGTGGCGTCATGTGTGTAACCAGGGCTGGGACCTCAGCAGCAGCCGTGTCGTCTGTGGCATGTTAGGATTCCCTGCGGCAGAAGCGTTT